GTTGTTTCAATTGACAATCAAAATTCATTCTTTCATCTTTTCGAGAATATGTTCCAAAAGTGTTAATTTGAGAATATGTTCCAGAAAAAAAAACTTTGCAGTAGGGTTATTTGGTACTGAGGGAACAAGTTTCGTTAAATTTTTACAATTAAGGTGTCATTGAAGCGCTAAAGTTTTTAGTTATTTCCAGTTGTACATAATTTTTTTTGTTACAACCACTTTTTATTTTTTTTTGACCAGATTTAGATCAAATATTTTTGATGAAAACGCAAGCTGTGGAATGTTCCGATGGATAAAAAAAATGCCAATTTTATTTTTAGATTAAAAATAATTATCGATTATCCAAAATTTTAGCTTAAAAAAAACCTCGGATTATCAATTTACTTTTTTTTAATTCAAGAAAATCTGTAAAATTTTTATAATTTAAGAACAATTGAAAATAAAATGTGTAAAATTTAAAACTTGAAAACACCGGTCTATCTCTTATACTCGAAGAAGAAGTTATTGTATCATAAAAAGTGTGAGGCCCAGAAAGAAGAGCATCCTCAAACTAAAGAGTTATGGTCCATTGTGAACGGAATGGGATTCCCTTATTTTAAATACTCTTCCTTTTTTATAATCCAGTCACTTACTAAGTATGAAATTTCTTTTTTTTCATTTAAAATTAAGATACATCTGAATTTAATAAATTACCTGAAAAAAAACACTAAGAGTCGGACTTTAAGAAGTTAAAACCAACAAGTTCTTGTTTTCTTATCTTGTTATACAATGTACAATATTCACGGCCTAATAAACATGAAAATTAATAAATCGTCATCATTTACATGTTTTAACATTTTCCGAAATGTGGTCTGCCTTCGTTGTATCTTTAAAATTGAAAATCAAAGACTTTCTTAAAGTCGTCACTTAATTCCCATGTTTGTTTATTGGGAACACTCTGTAGACTGGGGAAGGTTGATGAAGTTCAAAAGATTTCACAATCATCCTAACTTTATATCTTATAAAATTTTAAGGTCGAGGATTACTTAATTAATACATACCTGAGTCTAAAACTAAAGAACGAAAAGTTTTGACTTAAATTTTAAGTTCATGGTTAAATGTCACTTCTGACTTAATTTAAACCTGAACTTTAACCGTGAGGTTAAATATTTAACCCTGTGGTTAAATATTAACTCGCCGAAATCGACGAGTTAAAATTTAAACACAGGGTTAAAATCTTGAAATCCCGCAATCCCTATTTGTCTATCATTATTCAGCAGTAAGTGGCATTCATTCAACTAACGATATATTTAAAAGTAAAAAACTTGATTTAATAAATTTCACATTTTAGATTAATTAATGTTTGCACGTAAACCCAAAATACGGTTGTAACTGAAAATATGTTTAGTTTTCCGTCACGTAAATAATTTAAAATTAAAAAAACAGCTGATTACCGATAGTTACGTAATAATTCTCCGTAAATCCTTTTCTCTTATTGGTTCAGATTTTTCCCGGGAAATTAAAATTTAAAATTGAGAAAGTTTCATATTTAAGTAGCTATTCATTATTTTACAGAACTTTTTAACCTCGATCTTAAAATTCGCGCATTCTTTAGTTTTAGACTCTGGGCTATTCATTATTGCTAAATAATGAGCTTAAAGCTTAGACAAATAAGGAAACCCATTCCAATTCTAAAAAGAACAGCTTACATAATGGTAAAAACACAAATAGCAAGCAGAACTTTTAAATTGCATTTTTTTATTTTATCATAGTTTTTTTTATCCGGCTTTATTTTCTTAATCATCTGTACAGTTTACACCAGTGCAGTCATTATTGGTTCAGATGAAATTTAAAGCAATGTAAGGCCAGCCTTTGCTCACATACGAACACAAAGAAAGATGAATAATAATAGAAATGTGAAATTAAATTTTTTTAGCTTTGTTGTTTTTTTAATATTTTTTTTTGTTTTTTTTTCTAAAAATTTTTTCTTGTTCGGATTGTACGGATTTTTTTTTTGAAACGTACGGATTGTACGGATTTTTATGTACGGAATGTACGGTTTTTTCTTCACAAATGTACGGATTGTACGGATTTTTTCTGAAAATGTATAGATTTTTGTACGGATTTTTCTCAAAAAGTTTTGGCCACCCTGATGTTCAGCTACACATTTCAGATTGAAACTTATTTAATAAATATCTTTCAAAATCATAAATTGAAGCACATGTCTTTTGAAGAATAATAATTGAGTTTTTTTCTAGATTGTTCCTGTTGACCTGTTCCCTCACACCAGGGGATTCGAACTTGTTCTCCTGTTCCAGCGTATCTCTGAGGAGGAACAGCAGAGAGGAGAACTTGATGAGAAGAAGGTTGAGGAGATAAACCCGGATGAAAGTTCAGATTTGCAGACAGAAACTTTGAAAGAAGTTACGACATAAGATTGTGATATTCTATTTATTTCAGGAAAAAATGGCTACGGTTGAAACGTCGTTGTCTGAATCCGATCCTTCTCCAGATAAACCAATAGATGCTAATGTTTCTCCAGATAAGCCAGTGAACAAAGACCCTCCACCTTTTCTTAGTCCTTCTCCGGCAGGGTTTAAGATGCCGACTCTTCCTCTTATCTCCAAAGGACGGAAATCTGACAGTTTCTTAGCTGAATCTAACCCTGAATCTGAATCTGAAACAATTGAAACTGTTGCAGGAGAGTCTATTGTTGAACCTGTACAAAATGAAGAAGAAACTCCAGTACCTGACTCAACTGATCCCCAAGATAAAGTGAAGGATTATACACCTGTTCAACCAAACTTGACAAGATCGACAAAATCTCCAGCTGAGATTGCAAAAGCCAACTCTATTCCACTACCGTACCAGGAGCCTAGTTGGGGAGGGGTCCCGGAGAACAAATATTATCTGGAAGTTTTAAAAACTGGAACCATCGTGGATACAATTCAACTGAAGGATAAAAGTTTCTTTACGGTTGGGAGACTAGCGAACTGTGATATTATACTGGAGCATCCATCCCTCTCAAGGTATCAACCTCTCTTCAAAGATTAGATACTAGAAAAATTAAATTTGACTGTTTGCTGATTTATTATGACTGATTAATTGATAACAAACATAAGGGACCTCACTACTCACTAGTCTACTGGAGTTTGTAATAACTCATGTAATTGTAAATCCATATTTCAATCCCAGCTTAGTAAAGTCATGGTAGGATTGCGATGTGGTCACTGGTAAAAGGGCGTACATAAAAGTAATCGATTGATAGGAGAGTAAAATTGAATAGGAATTTATAGAGACAAAATGTTTTTATTTATTCTTACAATCTTCTTATGCTTTTCTTGGACCGCTTTTCCATCTATGCCATTTTTGACATCTTTGAAATCTTGACATGATTGACATGATTGACATGATTGACATGATGGACATGATGGACATGATGGACATGATGGACATGATGGACATGATGGACATGATGGACATGATTGACATGATGGACATGATTGACATGATGGACATGATGGACATGATGGACATGATGGACATGATGGACATGATGGACATGATGGACATGATGGACATGATGGACATGATTGTCAAGATTGACATGATTGACATGATTGACATGATTGACTTCTTTGACGTCTTTGACATCTTTGACAACTTTGTCCTCAGCCATTAATAACGGGGTTTAATTTATTGTATTTTAAAACTTCATGTTTAGGTATCATGCAGTGCTACAGTTCAAAGCAAAAGGCTCCCCTGAGAAACCTATTGGATTCTATTTATTTGATTTAGATTCTACACATGGTAATTAGAAATTAAGCTTTAAATATTTCTAAATCCAAATTTATTGAGCCTCGTAAATTCCGTTAAGAAAGATGCTTGCCGGAACTTTTCAGTTTTTTTAAAGATTTGAAAAAGCAAATTTCGAACCAGGAAAATACTCTGGAAACAAAGTTTGTGCAACGTTAGCTGATTTTTTTGGCCAGAAAATTTTTCTAAGATATGGGGCTCCTGGGGTATCTTCCTTGATTGAACACTGTAAATAGCTTCAAGTAAGAACCAATGAAGACCGCTGCATTTTCGGATCAATTGTCAGTTAAATTAAATTATTTGAAATTCTCGATTAAATGCTAAAGAATAATTTAATTCTAGGTCGTCATAAAAGTGTTAAGTATGTTTGTGTACAACCCAGCAGTTTAAATAATTTTAGGAAGTTACCACAACAAAAACAAATGCTTTCCGAAGACCTATTACAGACTCAGGGTCGGACACATCATCAAGTTCGGAGGAAGTACCCGGAGCTTGATCTTGCAAGGTTAGTAATTTTATTCCAGTATTTCCATATTCAACTTCTGTTCTTAGATTCTCTTATATTCTTTCTTTCCTTATTTTAAGACTTCAATATTGAATCTTTGGTACAATCTTTTCACCCATCCACCTCACCTTTCTCACAAGTTACATCAAAAATCTTAGTATTTATATTTTATTTTAAAATAGATTTTATTTATTTTTATTTTTTCATATTTCTTTGAAGTTAATTTGTTGTAAACTGATTGTTACATGTTTGAAAATACACCATAGTATACCAATTTTTGAAAGCAGGAACAAAACAAATTTTACAGATTAAGGATGCTAATTAGAACCAAAATAATTGATTTCTTTCTAAAACAATTCCAGAGTTCAGCCTAAAAATCATTTATTAGTAATTTGTATTGAATAAATAAATAATTTGTTTAGGACCAGATGAAGATAGTGAGGAAGAGAGTGAACATACAGTCACAGAGTTAAAATCTTTAGCAGCGGAAAGGGCAAAATTAAAAATGGAGAGAAAACTGGAGATGATTAGCAAATCCAGGGAAGATAACGAGGTAAGCTATCTTGAGAAGGTAGAGAGGAAAGCTATCTTGAGAAGGTAGAGAGGTAAGCTATCTTGAGAAGGTAGAGAGGTAAGCTATCTTGAGAAGATGAAGAGGAAAGCTATCTTGAGAAGATAAAGAGGAAAGCTATCTTGAGAAAGTAGAGGGAAAGCTATCATGAGAAGGTAGGGAGGAAAGCTATCTTGAGAAGGTAGAGAGGAAAGCTATCTTGAGAAGGTAGAGAGGAAAGCTATCTTGAGAAGGTAAAGAGGAAAGCTATCTTGAGAAGGTAAAAAGGAAAGCTATCTTAATAGAGAAAGAGAGGTACGCTATCAGTATAGAGGTAAGCTTTCTTTATAGAGAAGGTAGAGTTTCATGAAAGTAAGAGAAGGTAGAGAAAGTAGCTATCTTTATAGAGAAGGTTTTCAAATGAAAGGTACAGATTTAAAATATCTTTATTTAAATGAAAGGTAGAGAGTTAAAATATATTTATTTAAAGTGAATGGTAGAGAGTTAGAATATCCTTATTTAAAATGGAAGGTAGAGAGTCAACATATCTTTATTTAAATGAAAGGTAGAGAGTCTGCGTATCTTTATTTAAAATGAAAGGTAGAGAGTTAAAATATCCTGATTTAAAATGAAAGGTAGAGAGTTAAAATATATTTATTTAAAATGCTTTTTTAAAATTTTAAATGCAAAAAATTACTAGTTCTGATGAAAAATATTGGAAGAAAAGAAAATAGAAAATATTATTTATATTATTATCTAACAAATTTTAGCATTAAAAAAAAGAATTTCTGACACTCTGTTTTGACATAAAAAACTTGGGGAAAGTTTTGTTAATTGGGCATTACATCTTGTCAAAGATTCAGAATTTATTACCCTTATAATTGATTTATACAAATGTTCATCTGATTTAGGATGGAGAGGAGGGAGGTGATGGAGGAGAGGGAGGTGATGGTGTATCCTGGGGAATGGGAGATGATGCAGAGGAATTCCCGGATATGGATCAGGTAGTAGTACTCACATTCATCTGGTGTAGTACATGAAGACACAACCTTTGCATGGAGAGCCAACCCCCTAGATGTTTTAACCATCAAAAGCAATTTAAATGACATAAATAAATGTGTTTTTAGCTTTAAAATATTTTTTTTGAAGGGGGAAAACTCGGAAAAATGTTTATCCTCGCAAATGTCGTCTTCTTTTCAAATTATCAAAATATCATTTTTTCTTCGAGACAAATAATTTTTAATGTGTTTGCCCAATCAAAATACTTCAAATGATATCGGTAAGTGTCAAAACATTGATTTTGATGTCCTAAGATTGTAGATTATGAAGAAATGGAGTAATCACTAGGGGGCTTGGCTCTCCATGTAGGATAGGCCCTCCAATTTCCATGCACGACACCGGGGCCATTAGCTGATAAATCTAGTCGACTTCTACCTCTGGTAGTACCTCTTCAGACTGTGGGGGCGGGGGTGGAAATGTGTTTAACCCCGTTTGCGGTCTTGGTCATCCCACATTTTTCATTGATCTTTTCACATTCTTCATTTAGAACTTTGTAAACAGAGGTTTTAATTCTAGTTTTCAAATTGTTTTAACATTCGTATTCTTATATCTGGAATTTTTGTTTTATTTGGAATGTGAAAATATGGAATTTATCAAATATTTTTGAAGAAGAATTCTCAAGTGTGAAGAAAGAAGAAAGTGTTCTGTGAACAAGTTCTATTGATTTTTATTGGAACCTTTCAGAGAAAAATTCCAGAGAAAATGTCGGGGAAATATTTTTCACAATTTTTCGTCGAGGGAAATTTAATAAATGCCAACCATGAAATGAGTTTTAAATTTCTTAGGCGGTTCCATGTAGTTTTATGCAATTTTATAAAAACTCTGGCCTAAGAATTTGTTTTTTACAATAAATATTTTCAAGTAAACAAAAAATAAAAAAAATTAAATTCTGTTTAGAATCCATTTGCTGAAACTGCTGATAACGAAAGCTTGTATATCAACGATCCGAAGAAAGCTTTGAAAAATTGGTAATTATACATCTCTTTCGTTCTCCGTGTTAACTGAGGTTCTCCTTCTGCCTTAACCTGTTAACCCTCGTTCCCCTTACCCTTTAAACCTTTAAACCCTTGTTCTCCCTTCAGTCCGTTAACCCTGATTCTCCTTCTCCCTTCAATCTTTTAACCCTGGTTCTCCTTCTCCCTTCAATTTGTTAACCCTGGTTCTCCTTCCTTCAACCTGTTAACCCTGGTTCTCCTTCTTCCTTTAACCTGTTAACCCTGGTTCTCCTTCTCCCTTCAATTTGTTAACCCTGGTTCTCCTTCCTTCAACCTGTTAACCCTGGTTCTCCTTCTCCCTTCAACCTGTTAACCCTGGTTCTTCTTCTCCCTTCTCCCTTCAACCAGTTAACCCTGGTTCTCCTTCTCCCTTCAGCCTGTTAGCTCTGGTTCTCCTTCTCCCTTCAACCTTTTAACCTTGTTCTCCTTCTCTCTTCAACTTAACCATGGTTCTCCTTTTCCCTTCAACCTGTAAACCCTGGTTCTTCTTCTCCTTTCAATCTGTTAACCCTGGTTCTCCTTCTCCCTTCAACCTGTAAACCCTGGTTCTCCTTCTCCCTTCAACCTGTTAACCCTGGCTTTCCTTCGCCCTTCAACCTGTAAACCCTGGTTCTTTTTCTGCCTTCATCCTGTTATCCCAGGTTCTCCTGTTAACGTGTTATTTATCTAGGTTTGACCGTGAAGGATGTGAGCTAGAGTATCAGGTCGAGGAGAAAGGTTATGCCCAGTTTCTCTGTAAGATTGATCTACCTATAGACTCTCCAAACGGTGGACCTCAACCTACGGCTGAAGCTCTGGTTAAAGGTAAAAATTCTTCTCATTTGTTTTATCGGTCACTCAGAATAGTATTTCTTTTCAGGTTAAAATGATTCTTCTTACCTAATTTTTTAAACACTAGCTTAAGTGCCCGGTGTTGCCCGTGGAAATTTAACACTCAAGAAAAAATGAAATTTTTTCATCCTGTATTACCCCTAGTGTACCAATGATTTTCCTCAAAAAATTTCAGCCAATATGGTCCAGGCGTTTGGCCAGCTATAGGTGACACTGTTTTAAATGAACTTACTCCTCGCAGCATTAGTCAGATGAGAGCGTGCCATTCCTACCAGTTGTGAGACTTGTAGGTTTACACCTTTAGTTTGTTTATGTTTATTTAATTGACTCTTACCTATGAATATTTATCAGTAGAAGGATGTGGAGGGTTAAAACATCCCGCCCACAATCCATGGAAGTTTTATGTACGCGCCGTACATTATATCTGAAACATTCAGATATTAAATATAAAAAGGTTTTTTCATTTTAATTTCCAGGCATAGAAATTAGAATACGTTTTACTTTTTAAAACTGTTAAAAACATTTCCAAACAATACTTGGAAATATATTTTTTTTTAAAAGAGTATATAGGCTTTAACTTTGATTAAATAAAATAAAAGATTTTAATAGACATGGACGTGGTAAATTATAATTATGAGGATTGTGCGTCCTCCATGTTTCATCATGCGTCCTTCTCGAGTTTCTCCAACTATGAACTTCTCCTGTGGTCGAGTCGTCTTCCCTAAATAGTTCAGAATTTACACCAGTGTTATGCAGAGTAGCGCCAGACCCTCTCAAATCCGATTTGAGTAGCTCCTCCAATGCTACTCTGCATAGTACTGGTGAGATTGTGCATGCACTCGTCTGACTGAGGCTACTAGGTGCAAGTTCATTAAAAACAGTGTATATAAATATATATATTTGAGCGATGAGCTTTTTATATAGAAGACCAATAATTGACTAGATAGCAGATTTAAATCTTCTTCTCTCTATTTTTTGTATTTTTGAATATAAGATGGAAATTTTATAAGATAGCTGAGTCTGGAGTTTCCAATATAATTTGATAAACACGTCTCAACAGGAATAGGATTTTCTACTTTATTCTACTTTAGGAAAGAAGAAGGAAGCAACAATTCAAGCAGCTCTGGAGGCGTGTAGAATCCTTGACAGGATGGGTTTACTCCGCCCCTCTAAACAAGCTGCTGTGGAAAGGAAGGTCAGTATTCAGTATTCCATATTAAATCAATATAAATATCAAGTCGATAGTAAGAGTTAACGGGTTTGCATAATTGTTGAGAAGAATATTATTGGATTTGTGACATTTTGACTTCCTGGATCCGGGCCCAAGGGACAAATATCAACACAAACCTGCTAAACTGATAACTAATAAGAGATTATTATAAACTTCCCAATCTCGGTGTGGTCCGTCAAATTAAATAAGCGAAAAATGAAGAAATGTTTATTTATGATCTGGATCCAGTTTTGAATCCTGTTAAATTTTTTTTATCAAATTGGATCCAAAATCCGGATCCACATCAAAATTTAAGGGATCTTAATCATTGATTTTTCATCTGTCAATTCTAAATATTTCACGATGAGGATTAGTTAATCAACTCGGAGCGGGATTGCACGGCGGTAGTTCAAAACTTTTACTAAACTGAAATATTTTAGATTAAGAAATGGGAGGAAGATGATTTCTACGCGTCCGATGAAGACGAGTTTCTGGATAGGACAGGAAGTATTGAACGGAAAAGAAAGTCCCGGATGCGGATGGCAGGGAAGGGTGAGGAAACTGTAGAAACTTATGAAACCTTGATGAAGAAACATGAAGAGAACAAATCCCAGCTCCTTGTACTAGAAACTGAGTTAAAGGAAGCTCTGCTAAGAAAGGAGAAAGCGGATAAAAGATCTCAAAGCAATGACCTGGATAACTACCTGGCAGAATTGAAGAAAGGGGCTCAAGTTGACAAAGAGACCGTTCAGAAGCTAAAGATGAAGATCTTAAGCTTAAACCAGGATCAGGAAAGATTAACTAAACTGATAAATATCGCCCGACCCGCCTCTATGCCTGAACTCAAGTCCTCTAGTAAACCTGATAAACCTCAACTCTCCGGAATTATGATCGGGAAAAGAGGAAGCAAGGGTTTACTAGGTAAAGTGAAGACTGTTGACAAGGATAACAAAACACCAGTTTTCTGTCATACAACAGATACTAAAGTATTGGAGGCATTTCTCAGCGAATCTGATCCAGTGAAACCCAAAAGAAAACATCTTGAAGATGAAGAGGGAGAATCTGAACTCCAACCTATTGGATATGAGACCAGACCTGAACCTAAACCTAAAGAAAGGATCGGAGATACCTCTGTAAATAAAACTCCTCGAGTTCTAGGTCCTGCAACTCCTGATGATCTTTCCACCCGGATAAATGATACTAGCGAACCCATGAACCAAGATGAACCTACCGCAGAACCTAGAACTGCTGGGACTCAATCATCCCTCCCTCCCTCATACCTTGGATCCCAAGCAGAGGAAGATAGCGAAGAGAAAAGAAAAAGAGGAGATAGAGGAACAAAACGAAGGAAGAAAGTAGATGAAGAGGAGGAGGAGGAAAAAGACGATTATTACAAGGTTGGGATGGATAGAAAGTATGATGTATGGTTGCCCCCGACTAATCAAACTGGGGACGGGAGAACTAGTCTTAATGATAAACTTGGATATTAATGTTTCTGTAATGATATAATGGATATTCATCAATAAACCTGTATATTTTGGTTACACTCAATCATCAATTAGATGATTATTTTTCTCCTGAAACATGTTTTTTTTATATTACTGGATTCCATTCATTATTAATATTTTCCTTTTTTCCCTGGAAATAGTATAATGTTATAAATCCTACATACAAGGTTACCTGAATTGGATTGGATTTTACCGACTACCTGGAACTCTTAATAACCCGATATGATTATCTTGTAGTGCTTAACCNACTCTATAATTTGTATCCGTAAATCGTAATATTATACTTTGAATATGTGCCGAAATTACGAAATTGTGAAGAGTAATTTGCAATATTAATGGAAGTTTAATTCTTCATCTTTTTCAAGGATTGAAGGGGGGGGGGGGAATTAATTTCATGATTTTGTTTAAATCTCTCTTAAGAGTTTTTAATATTGCTAATGTTGGTATTTATGTGAAAACATTTTTCTACCAAGTTCAATCATCAGATTAGATTTAAAATGGAGAAGGAGATAAAGGATAAGAGGGATCTGTTCCTCAAGGTTCTCCAGGACGGAACGGAGAAGATTGAAGAAGAAGATTATAAAGCTGCTGAAGAGCATATCCAAGAGTGTCGTGTTATCTTGAAAGACCGGAAGAAACTAGCGCGAGAGTTGATGGTTCTTGATCTTTACTCCGAACCTGTCTTGAAGGCGGAGATAAGGATGGATACAGGGAGTCTTTACTTATTAGCACTGGAGCTTAATGTTAGGAAACATGTCAGTAATTTCTCGACTTTCTTTAAGGGTTGGTTTTTATATCTTCTTAACCTATAAAAGATTTAGAAAGGGGTAGGGTCAAAAGTCGGCAGTCAGGAATAGATCGCTCAGGGAGTTAAACGATTTAATATTTTGATCACTATGACTGGATGATATGTCGAATAATTGTTACTCCTTGATTTCAGTATTTGGTGCATCATTTGAATGCAATCTGGTAGAAACAAAACTAAAGATTACTTTTTTAGGGAAATTGTTTATCTGGGACCGAATTTAGGTCGCTAAACCATCAAATCTTGAATCACCGATTCAAAGTTTAAGATATATGATGATTTTGGTTGGTGATTTAGGATTTGAGCCGGTGGTAGGCAGTTCAGCGACCTCTCCGATTCATTAATACGGTTTCTAAATTCCTTAACATTAAAATGATTACAAAATTTTTGTTGTAAAATTTGTAAATATACTTTGTACATGGTTGATCTGCAGGCAGAGGAGGATTGCGAACGGAGCAGAGGAGTTGGTTCAGGCGATACTAGGAACAGGATTATTACAAGAAGGACAAGTAGAGCACTTTTGCAATATTTGTATACAGGCTGGGAACCTTCTTATCTCTAGTCCTGCAGACAGCAGGAACTGGTATCTCAGATCTTTCCGCACAGCAGAGGAGTGGAAGATGAGTTCTGTAATGGAGAGAACCAGCTCCCATCTTGTAAACCAGGCGATACAGCTCGATGATTTTGAGGCAGCAACCGAGTTCATTAAGTATATCCAACCTTGCGCAGAGAAACACCTAATTATGTTGAACCTTCAGCTTCTTGGGAACATATCCATGAATCAGGATATTCTAGCAGAGTTCTTTAGTAACAAGATGACTAAGAGGAAATTTTTCTCTCTAATTCACGTTCTCAAATCTCAGGATGGAAGTAGAAGAAAACTGGAGATGATGAGACGTATCGTGGAGTTTATGAGCGTAGATCACTTCTCTGGGTCTGATTTAGAGCCGAGTATGGTTGGATATCTCTTGTTTCTTAGCCAAGATGAAAGTAAAGACTACTGCGCCAGTTACAGGCTTATCTGTAGATATATCTCATTTGTGGCTTCAATGCAGGAACAAAGGTAATATTTACTCAGGGTTCCTCAAACAATTAATTTGGGTCAACCTACCTCAATTGAAAATTTAGAATTTGATAAAAGTATTATATTTGGAGGCAAACTGCCCAAGGAATTGAACGAATTGAACACTAGCCACAAACTCTTTTTCAACCTGATGGTGAAACATTTGATGTTTCAAAATAAGACTTATTGGCCTAAAAGAATGTATAAAGTATAGTTTAAGTTAAGTATAGTTATCAGAGATCGGAAATTTTATGTTGAGTATCGTTAATCTGGAACACTTGATCTCGAAATCTAATGTGGATACTTTTAATCTAATTTGATTTAATTAAATTAATTAATATAGGGATACAGGGATTAGAAAATTTGAATTTATATCGAGTGTTTAATTCCTTTTGCAAGTTTTTCTCCGGTGTTCAGTTCCTTTGGGGATAAAACTAACAATGCTAGGGACTGTGAGAGTAATTTCATATGCTATAATGGGATAACGGCACCCTTAAAAACCTTTATCTGATTAATTATATTGAAGATATTTACGTTTTTCTAGGTTTAAAAGTGTTTAATTCTCAAATATTTTCTTCTTGTTACGCTAGTGACTTATTTATTGAAACCACAAAGGAAAATGATCTGCAGTTAATTCAAAATGATTGATTAAGATTGTTATCTAATTCATACTTGATCAGGCAAAGCTTTTAAGGGTACCGTTGTGAATCGGTCATTTCCTCAGAAATTACCCTTACAGTCCCTTTAAGAGAGACAAAAATTTGCCAATCTATTCAAAGCTGGTAACTTGACTCTATACAAACCTGTCAATTTAAAGCTGGGAGGAAGAATTTTTGCGAGAAATATAACACGTCTGATATACAGGGTGTCCCAGGAATCATGACAGTTGGTGAATAGTTTCAAATGTCTTCTTCCATAATTTGTAACGTTCTTTAATACCAAGTAGAATTATAAAAAACATCGCTTTGTAATAATAAGATAATAAAATTGATTTCAAAGCAAAAGATAATTGAGTAAAAGATTGTTTAGCAAAATAAACTGCAAAAAGTCTTTAATATTTAATACTTGATATGGAAGAAGACATTCAAAACTATTCACCAACTGTTACAGCCTGTACTTTTCAGACCGGTTTCAACCCGGTTCTTTTTCCATAATCCGGAGATGATCACAGATCAAAACTGAATCGTACTTTTATACTCGCAGCACTTTATTCTTAGTAATTTAAATGTAAAAATACATATCTATTTATTTATATAATTCTATATAATTCATTAGTAAAATGTTAATTGAATATATCTCTAAGAGTGTCCAAATCTCCTGTGGGTTTTGTGCTTAAGATAGCAGAAAAAATCGTCAGGTATATTTTATATTTATGTTTACAGATACATGAAAATTCAAAAGGAATTAATTAGTACCTTCCTTTATGATAAATTTCCTTAAAATCCCTTTAATCTTTGCAACCCAATTTCATGAACATTAGACATTTTAAACTATGAAATTTATTAGTTTAAATCAAAAGTTGATACCACCATGTTGCAAAGATAAAGGGATTAGAAAATTTGAGTCTTTTTACAGGTAAAATTCTTTAAACCTTTAAACCCTT